GAAGGTGCCAAGTGAATGCTATCACATATCAGATGGTGGATAGTATCAGATATTTCTTCTAGCTATCTGATTTGCTCTAATGACAAGAATCTGAGTCAGAAGAAATCCTGCATTTGAAAGTACCTCTCACAGCTCTGGTCACCTCACCATTGTGATGACTGCAAAACTACTTCCCTCTCCTCGTTTCAATAGTTTTTCAAATTAAATACAAACACAACTATTCCTCTTTTTTAAAAAAAATGTTTGATTTTTGTTAAGGAAGAAGCAAACTACCCACCTATCTGGAAAAAAGGGAAAAAAAGAAAAATCAGCTTAGCAAGAACAGGTGAACTTGAAGGAGCAAAGCTAAAGGATAGCTAAGTTCACATCACAGCCAACAGCAATAGTATAAAATAACTCTTTTCTTTAGGAGAGTTATGATGAATGACATTTAAAACTGCTCTGATTGAGTTGTTCTGGTGTTGTGTCTTCTCTGAAGCTTTCTCTGATGTAATATTCCCAAGTGTGTGCCTTCCAGCTGTGTTGGACTAAAACTCGCATTAACCCTAGCCAGCTAAGACAAGGCTACTCTAGTGCAACCAAAAGCATCTCTTATGGAAATGCTGAGGCACTAAAATAACGTATGTGGTTGTTTTCTTCTGCTTGTACCTTGGAACCCCTGTCCACCAGCCAATTGAATCTGCACTTCATTTACACCACTGACCTTTTGGCAAGCTGGAGTAATAGCACTTTGTCATGTTAGTCCTGTCACCAGCATGACTCTGAACTGGTGGCACTGAGTGAGCATAGAGAAGCTTCTCTCCCTCCAATGCAAATATGTTATGATTCCAAAGCATGTTAAGTCCTGAAGTGCTATCCAATGACTTGCATAATTAACTTTAAGGATCTGCTTGCAACTGATGTGCTTTTAAGCATTCAAAGGAATTCTGTTTTCCACAGGGATCCTCCTATGAACCTCTTAGAGCTTGTAGCCTTATCTCTTGATTTTACATAGGTGGAAGTGGAAGGAACCAGTGTGACTAAGTGGTTTGAGCACTGGACTATGACTCTGGAGATATGGGTTCAGATCACTACTCAGCCATGAAAATCCACTGGATGACCTCTGTTCAACATGTCATATACTCTTAGGCTCAGAAAACCCCATGATAGGTCACCTTAGGATTGCCATAAGCCAGAAATTTCTTTAAGGCACATGATAACAGCAAAGTGATCAGAAAGCCACAACATGTATTTCTTATTGTATACATGTGCTTTATATCTGTGTGGTACAGTTATACCAGTGGTTCCCAATATTTTTTTTTAACCAGGGGCCACTTTGACTAGGGACCACTCTCCGACATTAGTACCAAAAGGGTTATGAATCAGTTTTTGGTCAACTTTAGATTTGGTTTGGTTATTTGGGGTGCTGACTCAGAAAATTGAATTGGATAGACCACATCAACGTTAATTTCTGATACAGAACATATGCCATCCAGTAGTTGTCATCTGCTCACCCACAGAAAACAATATTTAATAATCTAGAGCCACAGACCTTATTTTAAGTCTCATGGCCCACCAATTAACCACGGTGGGAACCTGTTGTTTCTTTTCCTTCATTTTCTTATAGTCATTATTGTAACAGTGTTCCGAACAATGTGGAGGAAATAAAAATTTCAGTCATTATTTATTATAGGCACAGAAAAAAGTTATAGCAGATTAACTCTGTATGTATATGCATATGCCTATGCCTTCAAGTTCCCTGTTGACTTATAATGACTGCATGAATTCTATAGTATCTCATTAGGCAAGGAATATAGTATCTCATTAGGCAAGGTGGTTTTGTAGGTTCGTTACTCAGACACACTGTTTCTTAAGCTGTGGGACTCAACCCCAAATTAGCTCAATGTTGGGGTCATGAAAAATTTGGCAACAATCAAATCCACAACCTTATGCATTTTGTACAATTAAAATGGACTTTTTCAAATAACCCAGGCAACACCAGGTCCCCAAGCTAGTTTGATAATAAAATAAAATGTTTTGCATTGGCTTTAAAGAAGGCAAACAAAGAACAGTCCGACCCTAAGAAAAATTAGCTGCTTGATTAAAAGCATTGCTGTAACCTTTCTCTCTCTCTTGCTTGTGAAGTGGCTCTTGATCCAATGAGTGAGATAACAAAGATGTGTTATTTAACTGGAAATGCCAAAGCAATTTTTCCAGATGTTCAGATGTAAGAATATCAAACCCGTATCAAACCCAATTACTTGAACTCTGTTTGGATTTGGTTTTGAGGCTTGCTTGTGAGACAGCTCCATGAGTGACTCATTCCTCTGCAGCATTATATGCATCTGTTGAAATAATTCCATAATTTAGCTTGTTAAAGCAGTATTTCTGAACTGAATGTCTGAGTGCTGATTCATATGGTTGATTATGTCTGTGAATCAGTGTATGTTTAAGACGACATTTACCTCATATGTAAAGGCTTCTTGCTCAGAAATCTTGCATGTATGACAAAGATATAAATCAGGAAATGTGTATTAGCTCTTTCACAGAAAATTCACAGAGGTTGGATAAGCACGGAAAAATATTAATAGATTTCAGAATCACGAAAAATAATAGCACTTTGCTATATTTCACCAGAATTCTTTTGCTAAAACTAGCAATTTACACTTGTGAAATTAGAAGGGGGGGGGGGTGTCAGGTGAACCTTACCAAAATAAATAGAAAATCTCTAAAAGCTTCCTTTCAAAATACATCCAGGGTTGACTTTTCTATGTTTTACTTTTCTTATAATTTCCAGAGTGGTATGTTTTTTTAAAAAACACAATACTGGGGGTTAGGCAGAGTTATCCGCTTTCCCATTTCTCTGTGTTTCAAATGCTTGGCAAGAGATTGTGAGCATATCTGCTGTTTATCTTACCTGTTGCAGGCAGGCACATGCAGCTACAGTAAGATCAGCCAGAGTAGAACCCCTTATCTTTCCAGCTCTAGCCTTTTCTTTGTATGTTGTTTAATGCAGCCAAATTGTTGTAACCATTGTTGCGACCCCACACTAAATGCCTGTGTTTCTGCAGCCCTTCTTCACTATCTTCTCAATGCTAACTGAAGGCAAAAAGGGAAAATATGAGGACTGGAATTATAGGACCTCATCAGATACAGGGTCTACACACTTTAAAAACAGTTTGCAGATGGAGACCATCATACAACGCAAAGCAACTTCTGGTGGTTGCCCATGGGACTCAGTCTGTAAACTGTTTCAAATGGAGGATTATGGAGTCAGGGAATGATCGTCTTAAGAGCTTCCACATTGCACAAAAACAGCTGAAGGTGCTTAATTTAACGTGTGATGGGATCTGTCAGATGCGCTTGATCACTTTAGTGGTAAAGAGTGGGTGTTTCTGTGGGCGGTCTCCAAAGAAGCATCAATGCTCCTTTTCTCTCCAGTAATCCTCTTGCATGATTCTTGCATGGTAATTTTTTAACAATAATTTATTTGTCAGGAATTGTGAATTTTTTATATATTACCAGTTTGCTGCAGCTATATTTCCCCTTTTTTAGACCTACATTTCAGACTTCTGCAATTGTTTAATATGTTGATGTAATTTTACCTCTATTTTTATGCATTATGGCACTTGTATGTGCTTCTGTAAGCTGCCCCAGATCCTTTTGGGAGATGATGGTGGGGTATAAATAAAGCTATTATTATTATTATTATTATTATTATTATTATTATTATTATTATTATTATTATTAGAAACACAAAAAGATTAGTACACAGCAAACAAGGCTGGCTGTTGTATTGGATCACACATCGGACACTTCCCAAGTGTGTAGGACTGTGTGATGTATCAGAGAATAATGCGTGCAGATCCTAGTAGGGTGGCCTTTTGCAGCTGACTGATATTATTATTATTATTATTATTATTATTATTATTATTATTATTATTGGTGGAAACTATATGCCCCTGTGATAGCTCAGAATGCAGAGGAATGTTGTAGATGAGGTGAATACATTATGAGAAATAGAACAAAATATTTGTTATAGATCACTCACAAATTGCACCTTTGCATCTAGCACAGTGGTTCTCAACCTGGGGTCCCCAGATGTTTTTGGCCTTCAACTCCCAGAAATCCTAACAGCTGGTAAACTGGTTGGGATTTCTGGGAGTTGTAGGCCAAAAACATCTGGGAACCTATGTGCCTCCAATTCCCACTCTCCTTGTTGATTGGTCATATTGGCTAAGGTTGAAGGACAGAGACACAGACTTGAGCTCCATTCAGAGCTCCATTAAAGTCACTAGGAAACATAGTTAGCCCTCTATATACACAGATTCTGCATCCACAGATTCAACCATATATTTAAATTCCTAAAGACAAACCTTGCCATTTTATGTAACGGGTGAGATTTTACTACACCACTGTAAATAATGGGACTTGAGCATCCACAAATCTGGATATTCGCATGAGATGTTTGAACCAAACCCCAGTGGCTACAAAGGGCTCACTGTATGTAAAAGGTTAATATATATAGAATAGCTATGCTTTTTTGCAGATTTAAGTAGGAGATTAGTGGAGCACTTAGCAAAAGAAGCAGATTGCAAACAACTTCCATTCCTAAATTGCCTTTTAATCTCAGCATTCTATTGAGTTCCACCTGTCCATTTATTCCACACAGAGTTGGGAAACTTTGGCTAGTGTCGGAAAGAGACAGAGAGACTGAGTAAGACGCACAGAACAGATTTGATATCAGGTTTCCTTTTCCAGCTGTCTACATGTCCCATTAGTGCTACTTACTTTTATCAAGACCTCCCCCCACCTGCCCTCTCTCTATAATTAGAGTGGCTTATGCTTTATCTGGGCCTTTCTTAAGGCCCAGATATCCTTAACAGCAGTAACTGTCAATCACAAAGGCCGGAATGGTAAAATCTTTCAGGGTCCACATTTTTTTTAAAGCAAACAGGGATAAAGAAAATTAAGTCACAAATATGCAAAATAAAGTGTTTTTTTTAAAAAAAAGATCTTACCATAAGTGTGGCATTTTCACTTGGCATTTGGTTTCCTTCCGATAGGCATCGAATCCATTTGCCTTTGCATGGACCACTTTTATCTCTTCTTTTCCCATGAAGCAAATCAATCTCATTTGAAGTATTTGCAATATCCTGTTTTCTTTGGGTTGGAACGTTTTTTCCTGGTCTGTGAATTTCTGTAGCTGAGTCCAAGTAACTTCTTCCTATTTGAACTGTGCGAATTGCAGAAGCGTGCAGCTCTTGGGGATGAAACACATGTGAAGCGTCTTTTGAAGTTTTTGTCAAACTTGCCACATTGACATTGGGTTTTCCTTCAGTCGCTTTCTTTCTGAATTTTGTTAACTGTCGCACGTTTTTCCGAGAGACGCCTCCATCTGTATTTTTCTTGCCTGCTGAAGCTGAAGACTCAGAATCGCCCAAGTCACAAGTAGAGCTTTTCCTCCCCAAAATCCCATTTTCTCTTCCTTGGGAACAAATCATAGAAACGTCCAATGTTGAGTGATTCTTGCTACGGTTTTCTTCTTCTGCTCTGGGATAATCATTTTCAATTGCCATGGAAGCCACAGGCGGCTTGTACTTCTCTTTGTCCTTCATGGTGGAAGTTTTACTTTGCTGTTGCCCAACAGTGAGAGTCATTCCTGCTTGAAAGGTTGATGCACTGTATGCGGTGGGGTCGCTCCCAGACTTGACAGCTACTTCTTTGGATTTTGACTGATGACCACAGAAGCCAATGGTGGCATCCATAGGCACAGTGTTATCTGACACTTGAAACAGGCAAGGCATTTCACCGAGGAAGTAAGCACACCCATCACAATCACTACCCAGAATGAAGTCATATTCCTCCTCCTCACTTTCCAAGAGGAATTTCAGCTTCTCATCCCAGTTCTGGCATGCCTCCTTTGTCATCACCTCGGGACATTCAAAGTATTCAAGGTGATCATCCTCATCTTCATCTGCTGTACTAAAGCTTCCACCTGAGTGAAGCTCAATATCGTTGACAACATTTGTGGTGGGATTTTCTAAAAAGTAAGTCTGGTTTTCCAGGAGAGCATTTGTGCAATTCCCAAACAGTGCGCCTTTTTCCAAACATTCATTCAAGCTACCCTTTTCATGTGTCTTGGCATATTCGGTTGTCTGACAAGCAGCTAAGACTTCAGCATTAAAGCAACAGCTGTCTGTGTGATCACTTATTTGACTTGCTAGTTTGGCATCTGTTTGTGAGCTGCTGAATTCATTTGCCTTGCCTTCAGTAATGTCCATAGCCATTTCATCATAAATAAAGAGATCAGATATGGTTTGGAGCATGCCCAAAATGCTGTAATCGTTTTTCTTTAGACTTGGTACATTTGAGGGTTCTACTTTGTTTTCTGGACAGGGAATATTTATGTACTGATTTTCACAATCCATAATTGTTTCTGCTATTGTTTCTAGCTCTGGGATTGCATATAAATCACAGGATTCTGGTGCAGGAGGTTCTGCCAGTTCTAAAGAAAGAAAACATTTGGGGACTGAATTGCTTTCTTCTGTCGGTTCTTCTTTATCCTGCACACATTCGCTTGAGTTTTCCTGATGATATACAGTTTCTTCATTTGTTTTGCAAGTTTCTGCATCTGCTGTAGGACTTTGGCATAATGTTGGATACTGTTCAAATTTGTTGCCAGGAATCACTTTAAGAAATGCTGAAGACTGAGCCATTCCAAAACAGTTCCTAGCCACGATTTGATAAACTCCAGCTTGTTCCTCTGTGCACCTGTGAATGATAAGTTACATAGCTTAAATGTTACATATCAATCAATATGAAATGCTTAAATTATATTTATAAATGAATAGCTGCAATAGCAGGTTAAACTGCTGAGCTGCTGAACTTGCTGACCGAAAGGTCGGCGGTTTGAATCCAGGGAGCGGCATGAGCTCCCACTGTTAGCCCCAGTTTCTGCCAATCTAACAGTTAAAAACATGCAAATGTGAGTAGATCAATAGGTACCGCTCGAAAGGGAAAGTAATGGCACTCCATGTAGTCATGCCAGCCACATGACTTAGGAGACATCTATGGACAATGCCAGCTTGCTCTTCAGCTTAGAAATGGATATGAACACCACCACCCAGAGTTAGACATGATTAGACTCAAGGAGAAACCTTTACCTTTGCTAGCTGCAATAATGGAAGAGACCACAAGGGCCATCCAGTCCATTCAGTCATGCAGGAACACACAAATAAATCCCGACAGATGGACATACAACCTCTGTTTAAAAACCTCCAGAGAAGAAGAGTCCACCACACTTCAAGGCAGAGTATCCCACTGTCAATCAGCTCTTACTGTTAGGAAGAAATGTATTCAGATGAAATCTAATTTCATGTAGTTTGACTCTGCTGTTCAGTGTCTTAGTGTCTGGAGTTGTAGAAAACAACCTTGCTCTTACCATGTAATATCTTTTCAAATATTTAAACATAGTTTCATGTCCCCTCTTAACCTTTTCTGCTCCAGGGTAAACATACCCAGCTCCTTAAATTGCTCCTGTGCTAGTACAGCTGTACCAGGAGCTCCAACTTTATTTTCTTTCTGTTATCTGTTTGCAGTCATAGAGCAGGGCTCCTGTCCATCATAATTAAGCTTTGGTTCCGCCCCTTGTTCAGGGCTCTGGGAGGGAAAGGAGCCATTTTTGGTCAGTCTCATATAAGGAAGCTAAACTATAGGACGTAGACCAGCTCGTCCCATAGAAAAGCTTCTTTTCTCAAAAACATCTGGGGGAAACAGAAAGAAAAATTCCAGGGAAAAGGTCCCAAGGCTCTGGCTGAGAGCTCACAGCCTCTCAGCCTCACAGCAATCGGAAGAAAAACAGCCCTGAAGTTTCAAAGAATTCTCAGAGGAAGAACAGCATTATACATCCACTGAACTCCAGCTGAAATATCTTCAAGCCTCGGCTGGTAGGTCTACTCGATACCCAGATGCATTTGGAATCGGTAGTAAGACCCACACCGATGAGGCATAGATAGTAAGCAGCCTGGGAGAGGTTAAATAGGGTTTTTTTTCTTACAGAGAAAGTACAGTTAATCAAAGTCAGGTGCCAGTCCATTGGGGACTAGACTAAGAAAGCCTTGAAGTGTTGTTAGAACCATTGAAGATTTGTTGTTTGTTCCATAATAAAGACTTTGTTGTATCATTAAAAACTCTAAAGGCCATCACTTCAGAAAAATCCCTAAGAATCTCTCTTTGAGGCTCCCCTGGCTTCCTGCTGGGCTTAAAGTATACATCCTATAGAAAAGTACAGCTGTTACAGGCCCAGTGCACAACAGAACAGCTCCTGTATTCTATATTGCAAATTACTTTGCATCACTTTATGCATATGGTATATGACCGAGATGCTGAGAACCCCTCCTGGTGAATTGCAAAGATGCATATCAGGGCACCAGCAAGAATGTTCTGATCTGTCAGTTAATTTTCTGACTTCCATGATAGTAATGTTACAGCAGTCCCTTGTTGCATACAGGCATTTTGAAACTGCTCATCTTTATTTACCAGAGATGTAAGTCTATTTATAAAGATGTAAGTTTCTTATTGAATTCCAGCCAATATATTTCCAAGGCAGTTTACAACATATTAATGGCAAGAATTCAATTTCAACATACATCTAATAAAATAAAATCACAATAACTAAACATTGGCATATAACTATAACATAAAAACATAGGCATATACAACATGTAAACACTAAGACAAAGAATATGTCCAAGAGTCCCCTTTCTCTTTTTCATGTGGTCATCCTACTCAAATCTTCAGCAGCAAAAATATCTGAGATGTAAGTAGAGCCTGGGTGGTACATTTTGGAGAAGAGGAATGGTTCCTGGCATTGGAGCCTATGTTTCAGGGAGTGAGCATGTGTCATCAAATAGAGTAGGTGCACAAAGCGATATGCTTTTAGGTACAAGTTCATTCATGTTAACTCCATATTGAAATGAAGTTAATCCAAGGCTGTTATATATGCTATTTTGTATTCATTTTATTCACCATAATTAACAACTTATCCTTTTATTTAACAGAACCTTTAAATTGACAATATAGCAACATAAAATCAAGCACACATTTATAACTCTAGCAGCAACGTGATGTGCATATTAATTCACCTCGTGACGTGTATGTAGGAACATTTGTTAATGTTCACCATTCTTTTTAAGTCTTAATTGCTGGGGAGGTCATGACCAGATGACTCAAACAAGCCGTTTGGGGGCTGAGATCGTAGACACAAGTCTCTGAGCTAATTTTCTCAATGTTCTCTTGCAAATGTCTTATGATATCGCCAGTGGCAGACTGGGTCTAAAAATATTGGTTGCCAGGAGACAACGGAGGCCCACCCTACAACTATAAGGTTATCATTTCATTTTCATAAGACGTAAATGAATGTTTAAAAAAGGCGTAAGTAGAAAAAGGTACAATTAAAATTGTTATTAAAATAGAATACAATGCAAATTTTTGGTGCATACAGTAATAATATTGGAATTTCTATTCATTTTTCAAGCTACTAAAAGGTCACTAACATTTTAAATATATTGTCTAATGTTTAAGGGGGCCCACTTGCCACTAGGCAAGCAGACCCCCTGGCTAGTCTTGCCTATGGATATTGCTGTTTGTAATGTTGGCATACATGAAACTAACCACAGTCAAGGTTTAAGTTTATGATTCATCAGAAATGAAAGCTAAAACTTCTGAATTCCTTCTGTCAGGTACATGGAATGCGAATAAGGTTGGGAAGCACATGAAACTGAGCTTGCAAGCTATGATTTGTTTCAGTGTATTTAAGATGTGCTAAATTATAGGTTAACATAACATGCGAACTGGCTCAACTTAGGACATTTTCTTGCTCCCTCCCCCTAGTTAACCTTTTCAAATATTTCCCATTGACGTTCAAAATTGCTGAACTTGTCGAACTTGTGCAAATTCAACCAAGATTTGTCCAACCAACACTTAGAGATTGAAATAAATATTAAGTTTGTAGGAAAAGAGGAAGACAGCATTCAAAGTGGATTGACTCAATCCTTGAAGGCATGGAACTGTGTTTGCAAGACCTGAACAGGGCTGTTGATTGAGGGCTCTCATTCACTTGGTTGCCATAAGTTCATTTTGCAACTGAGGCTGTCAAAATTGTTGGAGTACAGTTATCTGCTGAGATCACAGAAGAAGACAGTACCAAGGAATTTCTGAACTACAGCTTATTACTATTACTATTATGTTTATTTTCTCTCCATATGGAGACTCAAAGTCTTGTAGTGCTGCAATATTTACTCAAAATTCAGTTCCATGAGTTTACTGCAGCTTATTTTTCAGTAAGCATGCATGGGACCACAATTAGTTTGCAACAGCTCACGGAGGATTTTTTTCAAAGCAAATGTCCACAGGATTGTACTGTTATCCATTGCTCTGTGGCTGTCAGTATAGGACTGAAGTCAACTCATTCAACCCATTTTGTTTGTTTCCATCTACAGTTGTCCTCACGATGCACTTTCCCCTGTCCTTAATGAAGACCAAACCCCATTGCTCCTCCTTCTCAGGCTTCTACCTCACAAATACACATGTTATCCTGTGCATTTGGCCCGCCCTTTGTGTTTGATTATTTATTTATTATGTTATCTTGCACTGTTTATTTTATTTTGCTACATTATGCATTTGTTGTGTTGTAATAAAGCCCAACTGCTCACTGGAGGGAAGGACACTAGAGACAAAGTTGAAGTACTTTGGCCACATCATGAGGAGACAGCAAAGCCTAGAGAAGACAATTATGATGGGGAAAGTGGAAGGCGAAAGGAAGAGGGGCCGACCAAGGGCAAGATAGATGGATGGCATCCTTGAAGTGACTGGACTGACCTTGAAGGAGCTGGGGGTGGTGACGGCCGACAGGGAGCTCTGGTGTGGACTGGTCCATGAGGTCACGAAGAGTCGGAGACGACTGAACGAATGAACAACAACAACAACAATTTTTCCATTGCTGTATCTTACTTTGCTGTATTATTTTGGTCTTGGCTTCATGCTAGCCGCCACGAGTGCCCTTCGAGGAGATGGTGGTGGGGTATAAATTATTATTATTATTATTATTATTATTATTATTATTATTATTCAAGTAATCAAGCAAGAAGTGACAAAGTGCATTACACCATCTTACCCAAACAGTTTTAAGATGTGGTTCACATTATCCTCCAGTATTTCATAATTGGAAATGTTTTTTTGTTCATTGATATCTTGTCCATTCTGGTACCAAGTTACTTCTGGTTTGGGATTGCCTGGAAACATAAAGACAAAAAGTGCTTTTCTACATGAATGTGCAAATATTGATGAAAACAGAATGGACCATTTTCGAGGTAGAGTAGAGTCTCAGCCAACATAAATGGGCTGGCAGAACGTTGGATCAATGAAAATGTTGGATAATAAGGAGGGATTAAAGAAAAGTCTATTAGATGTCAAATTATGTTATGATTTTACAAATTAAGCACCAAAAAATTATGTTTTACAACAAATCGACAGAAAAAGCAGTTCAATACATGGTAACATTATGTTGTAATTACTGTATTTATTAATTTAGCACCAAACCATCACAATGTATTGAAACCGCTGTGGATCTGAGAGGGAGGCAGACTGCATCGGATCATACAGAACATTGGATGAGCGAAGGTTGGATAAGCAAGACTCTACTGTATTGTATTTTATATATGTAAATATTTCAAAAATAACAAAATCCAAAATTCAAAGCACTTCTTATCCTAAGCATTTTGGATAAGGGATGCAACAATTCCAAGTAACACTGTGGGATTTGCTACCATAAGACCTCTTGGTTGTTGTGAGTTTAAAAAATAATAAAATTATGGAGGATAGAGCTTTATGTAGCTATTATTTATAATGAATATATCCTCTCTTTAATGTGAGATACATTATGACTTTGCACTGCAGTTGCTATGGAACATGAGGACAATGTTGTGCTGATTTCTGCTTTCTATAAACAAATGGTGGGCTGCTGTTTGAGCAGGATGGTAGCAAGATAAGTACCTGGTCTGAATTAGCATGCCTCTTCTTACATTGCTATTCTTCTCAAGTTCTCAATATACGTTTTGCAGATCCCAGGATTGGATTTTAATTGAAATCTAACTGAAGTAACATATTCTCACTTAAGCACCACACAAGGAGAAGATGTGCATCATCAACAAGAGAGCAAGAATGTCCATAGAGGAAGTATAATAAAGTTCAATATCTTAAAGGCATCAGACCCTACCTGATTTTGGAAACTAAGAAGAGTCAACCCTGATTAATATTTGGATGGGAGATCACTAATGGAGACCAACAACCTCATCACATGAGGTCCCTTTCAGCTGCATGCTCTGGTTCATCATAAAAGTATAGGCAAACAAGCGCATGCTGTCATGGCAGCAATATGGCAGGCTTCCTGAGTTGAATAGAAGTCAATGGGGGAAGCCAATGTTTCACCCCATGGGATAAGGATTCCAGTGAGTTGGAGTAGGGAGTGGGGTGACAAGTTCTCCATGCCCCCCCCCCCCGATGGGCACCCCCAGATTCACCCCAATGCATGGTGATTCCAGCAATCCATCTGATGAGGTTGCATGTGCTGAAAACTACATTTCAGAGGAAGGAACTGGCGTAACCACCTCTGAGGATTCTTTGGCTAAGAAAACCCTATGAAATTTGTGGAGCCACCTTAAGTCAATATATGACCTGATGACACATACAAACACATACATGCATGCATACAGAATACCTCATCACTATGTGGAAGACTGTGATGAGCTAATCTGTATATTTAAGACTTTATCACGTACTGGCATTGCAGGTGGATCATTACTTTTAGTGACAATCCCTATCCCATAACACTCTGTGTGTCCCACTATTGGGCTCCCTCCCCTCCCCCAATGATCAACTCATCAAGAATTCCCAATCCCACAAGGTTCTTGTCACCAATCTTGGTGTGATGGGTCTCTTTAAACAGAGGCAAGATGGCCATCTGTTGTGGGGTGCTTTGAATGTGATTTTCCTGCTTCTTGGCAGGGAGTTGGACTGGATGGTCCACAATGTCTCTCCCAATTTTATGATTCTTCTGTTTCCGTGCCAATATGACAGCATTAATGTGATATCAAACTGAGGTTCACTTCCTCTCTCCCTCTATTTTACCAAACTGATTGTTTTTCTTTTCTTTTGAACAGACCGTCTTTTGTTATATCGGTTTTGTGGCTGCCCTGATGTCCATATTGACATAACCTTAAATTATATTTGGAGTTGGGGGAATGAAACACACAATCCTGGAGCCTGTCACCAATCCTTTAACTATAATCAAATGATGGAGAGCATTAGGTTTGTACAACCCTAAAAGCCTGGCAATGTCACGTATTACCAGTTGCTAAAACTTCTCAGTGTAATATAAATCCTCAATATTAATTTCCTGTTAATCAGTTTCTAGGCAGCCATGACTCAAGTCCTGGATCTCCTGTGTAAACTCCCTGTGTGAAGAACTTGAAAGCTTACATTGTGACATTTTGGTTGGTCCTAATATAGGAATTAACATCTGTGACCTTTTTACTTTTACGTAAACCTGTGTCATCTATGAGTTGTTTGCTCAATCACAGCTAATGAAATAGGCTCAGTAGAGGTGTTTTATTAAACACAGTTACATACAGCTTGCTATTAATATAGGTATGAGGCAACTTAACTCTAATGCAGAGAGGGGGAGGATTTGACATCATGCTATGTTCATGATTGAGGTCTACTTAAGAAGAGACTTCACAAGTAACTCATTTTATTTTATTTATTTAGTACACTTGTATACCGCTAGTATCTCAGCCTAGAGCGGCGACTCACTGCGGTTTACAGCATTTAAAAACAACAATATTCAGATTAAAAATATAAAACACATACATATATAATACACAGTATTGGGCCACCAATACAGACCAATGCATCTCTTAAATGAAAATCATAATCCAATTCGTTGTCGGTAATTGCCTGTCCTTAATCAGAAACATCATCGCGTCGACTTAGCCGAACGCTTGCTCAAACATCCATGTCTTTAGTTTTTTCCGAAATATCATCAATGAGGAGGCTGATCTTATCTCTATAGGGAGGGCATTCCAAAGCCGCGGGGCCACCACAGAAAAGGCCCTATCTCTCGTTCCCGCCAACCGCACCTGTGAAGCAGGCGGGATAGAGAGAAGGGCCTCTCCCGAAGATCTTAGGGTCCTGGTGGGCTGATAGGCCGAGATTCATTGAAGCTGAATGAAGTACAGTTATAACCTTGTGCTCAGTTCTAACTATTGAGCCATTTCTAGAGACCATTTAGACATGAATCTGTGATTTTCTTAATTATATAGAACCCACTTGAATCAAACAACTGAAATAAGTAGCTGAGTCAGTAGTACTTACCAGAAATCTTGCAGGAGAATGTAGCATCTTCATTTTCTGGTACAGATGAAGATGCCAACATTGACAGAAAACAAGGAGCACTCTTAAGGGAAGATGATTCTGAGCCTGACATTATGCTATACGACTCTGATCTGAAAGTAAAATGAAAGCCTAAGACATTCTGTGCCTTTTAAGTGCTAGCTACTTTTTTATTTCGTATCAAAAGCATTGCATAAATTAGTATAAAACTGATAAAAATAGAAGGCACACAGGCAGCTAAATATCTTTTGACCAGAAATGGGCAACAGCAACGGCATTGTCTGTAGCCTCCAGCAATTCCTCCTCTGTACATGAGGCAGGGCATAATGGACAAGCATACAGATGCAGAGTTGTCTGTTCTGCTCCACAGTCATACAAGGTGTGGGATTCTTTTAGGTAGTGCTATTTTGCCAGGTTGTCTTTTGATCTGCCCACTCTGCTTCTGAGTCTATTCAGGGACTTCCAAGTTGCCCATTCTTGGTTTGCCCTTGGAGGAAGACCCTCACTGGGGGCCGTCCAGTTGGGATTTCCTGGTTTAGCTGCCCAGCTGCCCAGCTGCTGTTGCTGGGAGAACACCAAGAGGAGTGGTAGTTCTCATAAGCTTTTCCTTGATTTGGTCTACTGGGAGGAGGCTGGTAGCCATGTAGTGGGTGGCTTTCACAGTGTTCAACCTTATTTCTCTCGCATTTAGCAGCAACTTCCCATCGCACATCATGGCGGCAATGCCAGCTAGCTTGTAGAGTTTATCAACAGCTGTAGGTTTAAGACATCCTTTGATAATTCTGCATGTTTCGTTCAATGCTATGTTCACCTGTTTTGCGTGGGCAGACTTATGCCAAACAGGGCAGTTGAGTAAGACAAGGCCAGGGCTGGTGTTCTTATTAATTTTGGGTCTGCACCCCATGTGCTGCCAGTAAGTTTTTGCAAGATATTATTGCGTGCAGCTACTTTGTGCTTGGTGTCCAAGCAGTGTTTCCTATATGCTAGTGTTCGATCTAAGGTGACACCGAGATATTTAGGATGGAAACAATGTTCAAGCTCTTGACCTTCCCAGTGCTAGGCCTGTTTGATCAAGAAAAAATTTGTTTCTAAAATCGATTTGTAATTGGGGTGTTTTTTTGTTTCGATATTTAAAATAATTACAAAACTTTCCAAAAAAAAGTTTCGGTATTTACGAAATTTCGTAAATATTAACAAAACATTTTGTAAAGATGGGGCCTTTTTTTTTTCAATATTTTTTCAATATTTTTTAAATTTAATTATTAAATAATTTAGTAGAATAGGGAGGAGAAATTAAGGGAAGGCAGGCACTCACTCTGGCGGGCCCTCTCGCTCGCCGCTCGCCCTCTCGCTCGCCGCTCGCCCTCTCACTCGCCCTCTCGCTCGCCGCTCGCCCTCTCGCTCGCCGCTCGCCCTCTCACTCGCCCTCTCGCCGCTCGCCCTCTCGCTCGCCGCTCGCCCTCTCACTCGCCCTCTCGCTCGCCGCTCGCCCTCTCACTCGCCCTCTCGCTCGCCGCTCGCCCTCTCGCTCGCCGCTCGCCCTCTCACTCGCCCTCTCGCTCGCCCTCTCGCTCGCTTGCTCAGCCGGCGCGGAGAGAGGAGAGCTCCCAGCAAGCCAGGCGGCCATCTTACGTATTTCCGAAATGGACGGAAATACAAAATTTTTTGGCGCCTGCCGTTTCGATATTTAAAACCCTTCCGGGTTTGAAAATATGTTTTGTTATCGTTTCGTATATGCAAAAATTAACGAATGTTTAACGAATTAACGAATTAACGAACGAAACCGCACAGGCCTACTAGCTACTGCAACAAGTATTTTGTTTTCTGTGGCAGGCTACAAAATACAGTCACAGCATACCACCTACACATAGTGCTAAAAACTGTTGTTATTATTATTACAATTTTCCTTTGTAAATACTTTGGGAATAGTACCTCAATGAATAATGATTCTCTCTCTGGCTCTGTGTACAAGCCCATATAATGCAGTCTCATAATGCAGCCTATCTGTCATGAACTACATTGCCATATAATGCAGTTCAATGCAGTTAAACTGTGTCATGGAACTGCATTATATGGCAGTATAGATGGGCCCTGATCTCTCTCTGTTTCGCTGATACAGAAAAATATGGGTAATAATTATATATGCATATATACACAAAGATAAAATAATTTTTCACATAAGGCAAACACAGAAGGTTATATTCAAGGTATAGGTTGAGAACCCCTTATTTGGAGTTCCTAATCCAAAATCTACCAGAATTCAAAATTTTCCACATGGATAGCTGAGATAGCAATAGTTTTGCTTTCAGATAGTTCAATGTACTTTGCTCTATGCATAAAAGCACATTAAAAATAGTATTTTGTAAAATTTGGATTAAACTAGATTGTTTCAATTTAGTTCTGGAGCTGATCTAGACACTGAAAATAAGCAGAAGCAAGTTGGCCAAATAGGTATCCCACGTGACCATTTAAAGAAATAACCAGGTGGTACAGCATGGAAAAAGGGGAACTTTGCCCTCAATTTTGGGAGGGAGAATTCTGATTAATCGTATATCATCCCACTTTTTCGGTTGCTTTTAAAATGTCCCAGTTTCCCTCTCCATCTCCCTTTGTCATCAGCTGACTTTAATTGCTGCAAAGTATGTTCAAAGTACAAAAGTGGTTTGTACACAAATAATTTGGAGAGGGGAAAGAGAACCAGGAATTAGAGTCTTGTCCTTTCCAATAGACTGAGGCAAAAGCAAACTGCTTCCATCTCTTAGTTTATATGGTCTTCTTTGGTGATAACTATTGCTGTCTCGACAGGACACTAGTGCTGCTTGGCCACACGTGTTCCAATTTTCACCTGTCAAATGTTGAAGAGTATGGCTTGACTCATTTCCATTTCTACAGTGCACTCCAGGACATCTTGCTGGCACTATCCAATTGCAATACATATGGGACTGGATTATATGAGGTCATTGAAATTATATATTCAGTTACTTCATCCTGGCATCTCATCATTCTGTGTTAGTAGCCAACTATGACTTGGGAAAGTGGGCAGTTGTCAATTGTTGTCTGAATTGGTTTTGCAAAGGTTTTTCAGTTTATTTTAGTTCATTTTTATCTGTTTGTTTCCCCACACCCCAAAATAATTTAGTTTGAAAGGTGCACCAATTCCCAGGCCCAATGACTCCTAACTGTAAAAGGTATTGCTGGAGAGAAGGCAGGCAAAAAGACAAAATATTGTCTCAGGGTACATCTACACTGCAGAATCAATACAGTTTGACACCACTAACTGCCATGCCTTAATGTTATGGAATCCTTGGATTTGTAATTTGGTGAGGCACTATCACTCTTTGACAGAGAAGGCTAAAGACCTTGTAAAACTACAACTCTCATAATTCCATAGCATTCATTCTATGGTATAGATGCAGCAGAGGAGCCAGAGGATGCAGAAATGGTCTTCACTGTAGCACAAACAATTTCCAGAAGGTAAGACGAAGAATTAAGATGATCGGCAACTGATCTCAATTTACATTTTATAGAAGAAATTAAATTGCTCGGACACTAATTCAGAACAAGGATGTCATAAAGGGGGGAACTACATGCACATGTGTACTACAGCTACTTCACTCCAATCAAGGTGTTAGATTACAAGCCCGATCATCCCCAAACTGTGTGCCAAACTGGTGTGATGGTTTCATTCTTTCAAACATGAAAACAGGCATCGGGGAAGCAGCATCAAAAGTAAAAAAGGACCATGGAAGAAGGAGACATAGCCCTCCCTTGTATTCTCTTCAATACAATTCTCACCCCCAATTTTCCTCCATGAAAAAAAAAAGTTATACTATCTTCCACTATCTTCCCTAAAAGCATAGTGGAAGATAAGTTTACATCAGTGTTTCTCAACCTTCCTAATGCCACAACCCCATAATATGGTTCCTCATGTTGTGATGACCCCAGCCATAATATAATTTTCATTGCTACTTCATAACTGTAATTTTGCTAGCGTTATGAATTGTGATGTAAATATCTGATATGCAGGGTGTATTTTCAGTCACTGGATCAAATTTGGCCTAAATACCAATACACCCAAATTTGAATACTGGTGTGGTTGGGTGGGTGAGGATTGATTTTGTCATTTATAGTTCACCTACAATCAAAGAGCATTCTGAACTCCACCAATGATGGAATTGAATCAAACTTGGCACACAGAACTCCCATGACCAACAGAAAATATCAGAAAGCTTTGTTGGGCATCGACCTTGAATATTTGAGTTGTAATTCACCTATATCCAGAAAACACTCTGCACTCAAACAATAATATATCTGGGCCAAACTTGGCATGGATACTCAATATGCCCAAATGTGAAAACTGGTGGAGTTTTGGGAAAATAGACCTTGACATTTGGGAGTTGTAGTTGCTGGGATTACTTCACCTACAATCATAGAGCATTCTGAACCCCACCAACGATAGAATTGGGCCAAACTTCCCACACAGAACCCCCATGACCAACAGAAAATACTGTGTTTTCTGATGGTCTTTGATGACCCCTCTGACATCCTCCTTGTGACCCCCCCCCCCCGGGGTCCCGACTCTCAGGTTGAGAAATGCTGTTTTAAGTGAAAGAGGGGAAAGATGGTGCAGACATTATTATGCATTCTTCTGATCCAACCAGCAGCCTTCCAAAAAGTTTTTCCATGACAAAATGAAAGAAAAATGTGTCAGAGCTCATTCATGTCATTGTATGTCAGATCCCTCAATGCCAGTGATGGATTATATTTATGAAAGGCAGACAGATCAAATCACACAGTGAGTGCAAATGAATGAACTGCACATAGGGAATGATCATATCTACAACAGATGGCATTTTAACACTGGGGACTGTTTCCATCTGGGTAGACTGACAGAATTAGTGTAGGTAGGTACTAACAAATGGGATCTCTACACATCCCTGTCCTTGCAACAGGACAAAGGCTAAAACCATAATTGAGAAGCAGGGAACTAACACTAATCTAGGCCACTATGAACCTTTGAAGGGTGGTAATAATATAGCTCTGTGTCCAAATTAATCCATGCAGGTGGTGCTTGGAAACCAGGACTCATGTGAGGTCTGGAGCCTGG